ACCCAGAAACAGGTGGAAACCATCAGCAGCAATCAGAGAGAGAGAGGCGTGGTATTTAAAGAGGCTGGCAGAAGCAGCAGAGGAAAAACCCCAGGAGAACAGACAAGAAAAAGTCAAACAGTGAACAGAGTGATGAGAAAAGGAAAAAACAGAATGTAAACTGTGACACATCATCTGCACATGGCAATGATGGAAGCCTGAGGCCATCAAACCAATCTCCCTCTGCACCCTTGCCTCACTGAGAAATGCTGTCCATAAAATTTATGAACAGAATCAGTGACAACAATATAGGCAACAGTGACCCCCGTGACCCTAAAAGGAAGAAGTGGGTAAAGATAAGAGGTGGATGGATGGATTTTACAACTGGTGATCTGAGCCTTAAATGATCCTTAAAGTGAAAAAGTTATGCATATTTTGAACAGGTCCAAGTCCAGACACCCCGCCGAGTCCTCGATGTCAGTGGAGATATGACCCCTGTGTCAGCCCCTGCTTCAAGACCTGCAGCGATCCACTGGCTGAGGCCTGCACCACCATCCCTCGGTGAGACCTTTGACCTTGTCCCTTTGTGCCAACACAGGTTTGATGTTCATCTTCTGCTGGACTCTGTTTTCATCCTTATGAACAGTCAGTTAGTATTAACACAACTTTTTTCTTGTTAATAGTGTCTTATATACATTTCAGCCATTCAGCATGTTCAGCTCAATCAAGACATTGCAGCTATGACTTTAAAATTTTATTTTTGTTACCTTTTTAATTATATCACTAAATGCAATTTTTTTTCATCATAAAAATGCAATGAGATATCTTTGCTTTGTTTTGTAAGTTTAAGGTGTTAGCTACTGTTTTACTAGTTTGTGCTTTTAGCTGTTGTTTTGTTAATTTGAGGTTTTATGTCATATTTTGCTTAACTATTTACCAATGTTAGCTTTTAGCTACTGTTTTGCTAGTTTTAGCTTTTAGGTACTAATTTGCTAGTTTTTGCTTTTAGCTAATGTCTTGTTAATGTTGGCTTCCAGGTACTATTTTGCTCACTTTAGCTTTGAGCTTTTTCTAGGTTTATATTTAGCTACTGTTCTATTGGTTTTGTCTTTTGTTCACCGTGGACATGGGCATACCGCTTGTTTACATCTAAAATGACTTGAGACAAGAAAATAAATAATTTAATGGTGAACTGGAAGACCATTTAATTAGGGCAACCTGTTCTGATGGGAATCTTTAGAAATCACCAGACTCCTTTGATAAAAACACATTTTTATGGGAATTGCTGGAATTATGCTGAAAACAAGAATAGATTGCTTTCTTTAAAGTGAACATTGATTATTAATTCATTGTTGAGAACAGAACATTGGCACTGGGTTAATGTAGATCAGTGATCATCAAGTGTCCACCCGTAGATCACCCTCTTCGGATGTTATCAGCCATTAAATGGCCGTTATTAGTTGTTATCATCTCCATATCTAGCGGTCAGACTGACCCTCTTGTACCTCCCAGTGGGTTTAAAGGTACATTGTTAGCATTGTTAGCGATGATAATAGGTTCCGTTTTTACCTTTGTTACTGCTCATAATAGCTTCACGTGCTTAGGTTTAGAGTAAAGGGTCTGGCGGTTAGGTTTACGGTCTTGGTTAGGTTTAGGCACAAAGGTAAAGGGGTTAAGTTTAGGGTTGGTCCTCAGGGTCAGGTGTAAGCTTACGTTTAGGAAAAGGGTTACATACGCTGAAAACAACTAAAAAGACACTTCCTGGTTTACCCCGCTGTTGCTGCCTATCATCAGCAATAATAACGATAATAACGTACCTTTAAACCTACTATGAGGTAGGTGGGACAGTTTGACCGCTACATATAGGGAGTGTACAGGTGTGCAGTGGAGAGCATCCTGTGCTCCAGCATCAACGTGTGGCATGGAGGCTGCACAGCTGCAGAAAGAAAAACTTTGCAGAGAGTGGTGTAGGCTGCATAGAAGACTGTCGGAGTCAGTCTCCCCACCATCACAGACATCTACACCTCTAGATGCGGGAGGAGGGCCGCCTGCATCGTGAAGGACCCCACTCACCCAGCGACACACTTTTTGTCCCGCTCCCCTCAGGAAGGAGGTTGAGGAGCATTAAGTGTAGAACCACTAGACTGAGGAACAGCTTCTACCCTGAGGCTGTTAGACTCATGAATTTCTAACCAGAATAATCACTGTGAAAAAATCACATCATGTTGCTGCTGATCTGTTTCAATGTTGCTGCTGATCTGTTTCAATGTCGCTGCTGATCTGTTTCATGTTGCTGCTGATCTGTTTCAATGTTGATGTGTTCATTCGTGCTCATCTGCTTACACGGACTCATGTTCATGTTTGTGCTGATGTTCGACGTAATGTTTTATGTTATGAGTGCTTAGTGTATATTTAGTTGATGTTTTTCTTCATATCTTAGATGTTATTACTGTTTTTCTTTTACATTTTATTGTTGGATGTAACTGGGATCCTGTGTACATAATTTCGCTCCACCACATGTACCACATGAGGTGCGAATTACAATAAAGAAACTCTGACTCTGATAACAACTAATAACAGCCATTTAATGGACTGATAACACCCGAAGCCGCTCCATAGACGATGGGTGGTGTCACCCTCCTGCAACTTAAAGGATGAGAATAATGTGAAAAGAAAAAGGCCAATCAGTTTTTGTCAGTGGTGCCAGCTTTGATTGCAGATAAATCACGTTGAAGTTTTACAGTTTGGTTTGTAAACTCACACTATCACTGTAGATTTCTTTCTTTCTTTCATTTGTACAGAGTGGAGGCTTGCCTTCCTGTATGCGCACCTCACATGGTTCTGGATGAGGTCACCAGACGGTGTGTTCATGTTGAAGACTGTAAGTAGGTCCTAATGAATTTTATGTCATTTAGTTAGATACATATAAAACATATTTTTAACTGGTCTTTGATGGTCAGCAATAATACCAGAAATTAATAGCTTGGCTTAAACCAACACTTGTTACAGCAACATACAATAAATGGATTTAAACACAAGAAAATCTTCACCGTGCTCATCATTAATTTTTTTATTTAATGAGTACCATTCATTTATCCATACTCTAAGAATTAACTTGTAATAAATAACCTTTACAAACATATTTTTATGATAAATAAAATTCACAACAATCTTTACATTTGTTAAAGCAAAAATAACTGAATATTGTTTGCTATAAATTAAAATAAAAAAAAATGTTTGCAGTTTTATAGCAGGACACAGATAGAAAAATGTTTTAGAAATACTGAATTTGAATAGAAAAACCTATTATTATTATTATAATTATTATTATTTATTTATTTACTGTTCAAATTGACAATCTTGGATCAATACTAGATCTGCTCATAATAGTTAAATGATAATCATTATAATTGTGTTAAAAGCTAAGTATTAAAATATAAACTAAACTTATTTTTCTTTAGGGCAGCAATGCAGCATTTAGGCATGAACATGGACCAATTATGTTAACAGAAAACACCACGTTGATGACTGGTACCACATTACTCCATACTTTACTACGTGCTGCTGTTCGATGTAATGTTTTTATGCTACTAGTGCTTAGTGTATATTTAGTTGATGTTTTTCTTAGTTCATATCTTAGATGTTATTACTGTTTTTCTTTTACATTTTATTGTTGGATGTAACTGGGACCCTGTGTACATAATCTCATTCCACCACATGTACCACATGAGATACGAATGACAAATAAATCTCTCTGAATCTCTGAATCTGAATCTCTGGATTACTCACTTCTCAGGCACTGATTCTCATTTTATTAGATTTGGGCACTCTCACTTTATCATATTACCTTGGCTTTGCACCTACTGGTGCTGCGTTTCCTCATTTACCCCCACACACTGACTAGTTTGGAAGTTAACTTCTCTATTAACACTGATCAAGCAGGAGGGACTCCGATTCCTTTTTATTTGCAGAAGTTATATTCTTATTGCTGTTTCTCCAGTACAACATTGCCATTATTAACCTTTCTGAGGGTGGATAACAACTAACTCCTATGTTAAAATGTGCCTTTCTAATAATTGCATATTATGCATATCAAAAAGAATACCATCATGGCATCCACAGATGGAACAAGTTCCAAAAAAACGTAATTAGAAAATATAATGTTATCATGTTTATGTTTCTCCCCTTCATGCTTCAGTGCTTTCTATAACACTGGTTATTTGTTCATTTCAGGCATCAAGGTTCCAGTTATTGTGCCACTTACAACAGTGGGCACTGCATCTGTCACTTCTGCAACAAGCACCAACATTACTGCCTCCGCTACCCCCACAGAGGTCATCATTTCCACCTTTGTTTCCACTGTTTCTCCACATACCGAAACCACAGTAAAAATTACACCCAGAATTTCTTCTGTGAGCCCACAGACCACCTTGTCTAAATTACCTGAAAGCACAACTCCATCTATAGCTCCTGAGCTTTCCAGAACTCCATCTACCACAACAGAACACCCTGCCGTGAAGCCAGAAGTTGTGGAGTTACCATATACAATTAGAGTAACAGAATCACCATCCACTACTTTAATAGAGGCAACAAAATGGACCAAGCCAACAAACATGACCATCGTCTCATATCACACCACCACCTCCAAGATAGACACTTCCTCTGCCAAGCTGACTGACACCCAACAGCTGTTCTTCACTACCACAGCTGTAACCACTGCAACAGCTCAGACTACAACTTCTGCTGAGGGGCCAACCACAACCAGAACTACTGCTGTTGTCCATCAAAAAGAAGGCACCGCAAAAACTACAACATGTTCATCAGCTTCCAGTAGAGTTCCTGCTCCAGTCTCAGAAATGACCGGAGTTTCAGACATAACTACTGTCCCCAGTGAAATGACCTTTGTGGATACAGGCACCAGTACAAAAATAATAACTGTAGAAGAGTTAACAACAACAACAACATTAGCAACAGCAACAACACCACCTCTCACCCTGCCTGGTTTATTGAGCACAAGCTCTACAACAGCCTCTCTTGTTCCAGCCTCACCTCCTATAGAGACAGTTATTGGATCTTTGTCAACAGTAGCTTCAGCAAAGACTACAAAATCCTCAACACCAGTTTTACCTTCTGCCATCAGTAAAATAGCTGAGACAACACAACTTGTTACCTCAGAAAAGAGTTTTCAAACCATCCCTACTGACCAGACAACTTCTGCTGTTTCTGTGTTACCCACAACTCATGTTACACCTAGAACAACTTCATCATTTGTCTTAACCACAACTACTGAAACAGAACAACAAACTACAAAGAAAGTGACTGTATCTGAATCCCCAGGACCCAGAATCCCCATTGTTTCTACAGCAACGGACACCACAGTTTCTACTGTGTCTACATCAACACCTTTCACTGATAGGACCTCTTGGTCTGTTGGTGTCCCAGTAACAGGGAGAACTACCATCAGCAAAGCAACTTCAAGTCCACTTGTGGTCCCAGAAACATCCACCATGTCCTCAGATCTTCTGTTCTCCACAAAACCTTTTATAGAAACCACTGCTGTACCACCATCACCAACAACACAGAGTTCCACTCATCCTGTCTTCACTGAGCAAACCTCCGAGGCACAGTATCTTTCCTACTGGAAGACCTCTACCACCCCAATCTACCAACCTACAGTAAAGACATTACCAGAGGTCATCCATGTTTTCACGTCCACAAAAGCTACTGATGTTCCTCATGTTCCAGCAACATCCAAACCAACTTTTACCTCTTCAACATCACCTGCTGTGGCAACCACCATCACTAAGACAACAATGCAGAAAATTTCCATCCCAGAAAGTGTAGTCACCACAACCAAAGAGCTGGTTACAACTACACATCCACCTGTGCCTGCCTCTTCTGAAAGCTCCCTCACAACAGCCCCTACAGGAGCTACACCCTCTGTTGCTACCACCACTCTTAGACCTGTTGTCCTTCAGCCGATTACAGAGGCAAAACAACCATTGACGGACAGAGTGCAGGTGTCAACCAAACTTACTACCATGTCATCTCCCTCCTTGCCCCTGCTGCACACAACAACTTCTGGGGCAGCTCCAAATGCGACTACAGTTTTGGACAAACTCATAACACAGCTGGTGTCATCAGAGCCTACACCCACAACAATATCTTCTACCACTGTACAGACAACCACCTTCCGGACAACACCCAGAGTTCTGGTAACAACAAAAGTTACTCCCAGAGCCACTTTAACGATAAGGCCGGTTACTGCTAGGGTGACCATGACAACAAGACCCTCAGCTGTAACCACCAGATCAACCACTCTTGGGTCTCCAACGGTTGCTCCAGTCACCATATCAACAATAATGTCTTCTACCATTAAATCAACAAACACAACCAAACATGTTCACACATCTACAGCAAGTCCTCGTCTGACCACCTCAACATCCCAAGTCCTGGGTCTTACAATGACAACAACCCAATCATCTACAGTTGTCCCCACCAGAAAGTCAACTACACCTGAGAGGACATTATCAACCAAAGAGGCTGATGTCCGACCATCCACATCCCAACTACCTGATAGAGCTGTCTCCACCCATGAACCTAGTATTCCAGGTTTATGGGTGGAAATGACTTCCCCACCATCTGCCACCATGGGTCAGTTGATTCATACAAGCCCTGGTGAAACGATGTCTTCAGCTTCAATTTCTGTTCATACACCGTGGGAAACAACGAGCCGCTCAGCAGAGCAATCACCATCTTTGACGGCAACACCTATGAGGATGTGCACAGTAAGTTTACTATTACAGCTTCCTTCAGAAACACAAGATGAATTACTCTAAATCAAATCAAAACACATCAAGATTTCAGCGTTAAACAGTACCTTCAACAAACATGGAACACACTTTGATCACTAAATATATGTGTTGAAATCAGTAGTTCAACTCTCAAAGGTACGTTGCAGCTGTTTTCTGATTGTATAGAAGATAAATACCCGTAGAGTAATTATTTTAAGAATATTACAGCAGGTAGCAGCTGCAACTAATTAGTTGGATTAAAACTTTCACTTCTGACAAGTCCAATATTACTTTGTCTTACTTAGTAAAAATAAGAGTAGCGCGTAGTTCATATATTGACTATTGACTATATTATTGATACTGCAGTAGGTATTGATATTGAATGATATCGATGTAATAGTTAGGGATGGGGCTGATCCGATCCAGTATCAGTATCAGGCTCCGATACCAGCATAATTTACATATCGGATTTTTTCCGATCCAACCTGCAGAGATTTCCGATCCAAGATGCATGCTTGTCTCCAAGTAAAACGTCTCCTCATGCAATTCCCTGCCAGCTGCTCTGCACGTTGGCTTCAAACTATGGAATGGATTTCCTGAACGGAGGCGTGTCTCATGAACCCAGAGTAATAAGACCCGTCTCACATTCCGGAAATCCATTTCATAGTTTGCAGCCAGCTAAAACGTGCAGTAGCACTGTGGCTAATGGCTAACCAACTTTTCATCTAAACATATCCACTGTGTGGAAGTATTTTATACTAGAAACACCACAAAGCAAGACAGCAACGTGCAATGTCTGCAGAGCCATAGCACCACATTAAACTGTGGTAAAGTTAGGTTTACGTTGGACATTCGAGCTCCAGGGCTTCAGCGGTGTGTTATTTTTGTTCAGTCCGGAGAAGGCAGTCTGATTTCGGTCAGCCACGCTCAGTCTGCCCTCTCACTCTGCCCGTCTTGGAGGAGGGGCAGACTGAGCGCGGCTGACCGACATCAGACTGCCTTCTCCGGACTGAACGAGAATAACACACTGCTGAAGCCACGGAGCTCGAATGTTTACCGATAAGTTGATAAACTTCATCATAATTAATGACCAACCGCTATCAGTTGTAGAAAGCGAAGGATTTCTCAGCTTGATACTTGCAGTCAAGATATAGTTTACCCTCCAGGAGCTATTTATCAGTACAACAGTAGACAATCATAAAAAGCATATGAATTGAAAAATACAAGAAAATTATATATATTTAAAAAAAACGAAACAAAAACAGCTACATTATAAAGCAATGTAAAATATTAAAAACAGGAACATGTCTGTTGGTTTATGCCATGAATTTAGCAGGTGTTTGAAGCCGTTTAATCACTTTAATAGCCACTTTAAAGCTAGGAATAAAACAAAAAAACGTGTTTTGTGTTAGCAGAATTTAATTCTAACTTTGAAATTTATCCAACATTCAAAAAACTTACCTCATGTTGCCTTTTTGGACATGCATATATTTGTACAAATTGTACTTGCCTATAAAGCGATTATTACAGCCTCATATAAAATCAGTACTGATGATGATATCGGGACGGTATTGGTATTGGCCGATATCCAGATTTAGGTATCGGGATCGAATCGGAAGTTACAAAATGTGGATCGTGCATCCCTAAAAATAGTATCAATACCATAGTTTGAGCTTTTCAGTATGGGTTGCTGTGGTTTTGATGGCTGTCCATGGCTGTCTGAGTCTGTCCTGCTGCTTCCAAGTGCTGCTCTTGTCACTGCATGCAGCGAAGCAGCCACGCTCTGCTCCTCCTCCCTCTCTTGTGCTTTGATGCTGTACCGCCATGTGACTCGAGGTCTGGTTTGTTTAGGCCCAGCTGCAGCATGGACTGACAATGATAAGGAGTGCCATGTAGTTAAATTTTCAACCCCAAAATGATACAACAGCAAGTAATAATGTATTATCTATTTACTCATAAACTTTGTCTGAGTCTGTGCTGGATTTCATTTTATTAATAGGCTAACGGAAAATAACTTAAGGTTTTATATTTTCATTCAGATTTAGCAATAAGATGCATCCACTTGAATTATTAAAAAGTATCAGAATCACCATCAGGATTGATAATGATATCAGCGATGTTGGCCCTAAATTACTTGGTCGATACTAAATTATACAGTGTCTCACAGCACTCAAAAATATAACCAAAAATTCAACTCACAGGGGAGAGTACCGAGAAACCGACAGAGAACATTGCTGGTAATCATTGCTTTCATCTACATTTTTATACTTACCACAAGAGGAAACAGTAGAGAAAGAGACTAATTAATTACTCCTAAAAGTAAAATATGAATGTCTACTTCATATAAGGCAAGTCAATAAGTCATAAATTCTATTTTGTATATAAATCCAAAAGAGACAATAATTTTAAACACATTACTAGGCTGCTATGAGACCCGGTATGTTTCATGCAAAAATTAGTTTGGCAATAACGGGTTTTTAATGTGCAGCTGTACTTAAAAACAGAGCTGTGCTGAGATGTTGGGTGGCACACTAAATATGTGAGATCAACACTGATAATAGTGGCATGCTTTTTAAGTGTGTCATACACCCCTGTGTGTTTTGACCTTTAAACGTTCCCTAACTGTCCATTTCTAGTCCAGTTTGTGTCTTGTGAGTCCTGTGTTTTCAGCGTCTTGTCTTCTCGTTTGTTCAGCCTCCATACGCTGAAATTATTGATGAATGCACAAAGTACATCTGCGTCAACAACCAGCTAGTTCTGTTCAACAAATCCCAGAGTTGCCCCTTCACAGCGGGACCTCCCAACTGTGGCTTGCTTGGATATGCAGTTCTGGTCAATGGAGACAAGTGCTGCCCGAAGTGGGACTGTCCGTGTAAGAAAATACAGAGACATGATTTTTTTGTCCTAGTTTTTTGTCTTAAATGTCTCCCTCAGACATCTGCAAGCAGCAGATTTTATTTTAGCTGTACTTACTGTGTGTATTGCAGGTCGATGCTCCATGTTTCCTGATCTGAATGTGATCACGTTTGACGGGAACAGCTTTGCCATCTTCAAGGCTGCTTCATATATCATGACCCAGCTGTCCAATGAGACTCTCAGCGTTCTGGTTCAGGAATGTCCGGCTGACTCAGAGTCACCGGTGAGAGACACCAGCTCACTTGTTCAGTTTTCTTGGCACTTTTAAATCTGACAACTGGGTTTACTTGATTTCATTTTTCTTTCCAAAGCTCAAGTGGAATTTCACCCACCTGTGTCTGGTCTCACTCAACATCACACATAAATCCAATCACGTTGTCATCAACAGACTGCAGAGGAGAGTAAGAGCCACACTAATCTTACTGCTTATTTTAACTACAATTTGTCAAGATAATTAACTCTGTTTCAACATGCATTTTGTATTTTCTATCAGCTCTATGTCAACTCTCGATACGCCAAGCCCCGTTTTAAAAAGCATGGCTTTGAGATCTACGACACGGGCAACATGTACCTGATCCGCAGCCCAAGTGGTCTCAAGGTGCAGTGGTTCCACAGCACCGGCATGATGGTGATTGACACTGACAGCTTGAGCAAGAAGCTTCCCACCATGGGTCTCTGTGGTAAGAGCAAAACCAGACCATTTTGTTCCACATCACGAAGTAAAGAGGGGGAATTTAAAATGCCCTCCGACTGACTGTCTGTCCATTGGTACATGTTTTGTGCTGGATAATTTGAAAAATAAGTGAGGTAACAGCTTCCATTTTGGTTTGTGGCTACATCTAGGTTTAAGAAAGGTCACAATTAAAAAATTGGGTTGCCATGTCAAAATCCAAGATGCCCACCACCATATATGAACCTCCCTAGGGAGGCGACCAGGGGGCATCCTTACCAGATGCCCGAACCACCTCAACTGGCTCCACTCGATGTGGAGGAGCAGTGGTTCTACTCCGAATCTCTCCCGGATAACTGAACTTCTCACCCTATTTCTTAGGGAGAGTTCAGCTACCCTGCAGAGGAAACATTTCAACCACCTGTATCTGCGATCTCATTCTTTTGGTCACTACCCAGAGCTCGTGACCATAGATGAGGGTAGTGACATAGACCGATCGGTAAACAGAGAGCTTTGCCTTACAGTTCAGCTTGCTCTTCACCACAACGTACTGGTACAGAGTCCGCAATACTGCAGATACTGCACCAATTCATCTGCCAATCTCACGCTCCATTCTTCCCTCACTCATGAACAAAACCCCGATATACTTGAACTCCTCCACTTGAAGCAGAACTTCACCCTCAACCTGAAGAGAGCAATCCATCATTTTCCGGTTGAGAACCATGGCCTCAGATTTGTAGGGGTGGTGATTTTAATCCCAGCGGCTTCACACTCTGCTGCGAACCTCTCCAGTGAGAGCTGAAGATCACGGCAGGATGACACCAACAGGACCACATCATCTGCAAAGAGCAGAGATGGAATCCTGAGGCCACCGAGCCGGAATCCCTCCATCCCCTTGGCTACACCGAGAAATTCTGTCCATAAAAGTTATGAACAGAATCAGTGACAATGGGCAGCCCTGGCGGAGTCCAACTCCCACCTTGAAGGGGTCCAACTTACTACCGACAATGCAAACCAAACTTTCACACCACTTGTATAGGGACCGAACAGTCCTTTACAACAGGCTCCTAATCCCATACTCACGGAGTACCCCCACAGTATACCCCAAGGTACACAGTCGAATGCCTTTTCCCAAGCCCACAAAACACATGTAGATTGGATGGGCAAAATCCCATGACCCCTTGAGAACCCTAGTGAGGGTAAAGAACTGGTCCAGTGTTCCATGGCCAGGACGGAACCCACATTGTTTCTTCTAGATCTGAGGTTCGACCAACGACTGGACTCGCTTCTCCAGTACCCCTGAATAGACTTTTGCAGGGAGGCTTAAAAGTATAGTTTCCTCAAATAATTGTGGTGACCCAAGATTAATCCATGGTGGCCAAGGCCAACACTGGCCACCCCCTGACTACACCACTACACCTCGTTGTGGATAAAATTGCTCACTCCATTTGCAAAGATTTGTCACTCTGCACTGGACAAAAAAATCCTCTCTTACTATAGACACTGTTACTCCTAACCCCTTGATTCATTTGTACTCGTCTGCTCACTCACTCATGTTCATGCTGCTGTTCGGAGTATTGTTTTTGTACTACTAGTGTTTAGTGTATTTTTATTAACTTTTTTTTAGTTTTGTGTCTTATCTTTTTACTGTTTTTCTTTTACATTTTAATACTTTTGTTTGACGTAACTGGGACCCTGTGTACACAATTTTGTTCCACCACATGTACCACATGTTTTGTGTATGATGAATAAAGAACCTTGAACCTTGATTCTAGGATTCAAGGCTCTTTATTGTCATTCACATCACATGTGGTACATGAGGTGGAACAAAATTGTGTACACAGGGTCCCAGTTATCCAACAATAGCAAAACTATAAAGTGTAAAAAGAAACGGTAAATAAGGATTTAAGACATCAATTAATATATACGTTAAACAAACGCCCAACGGTACGCCAAAAGTTCTAAAATATATGCCAGTCACGAATACTGCAAAACAGTACACTGAACAACAGCAGCATGAATCTCATAGGTTTGGTTCGGCTATAATTTACACGCTTAATGTGAGCACTAACTTAAACTAAACTAACATAAACTGAGATTTATTCAAAGCATGCAACAAAAATACAGAAACAAGATGCAAAAATTGAAAAATAAATAAATCTACAGCAACATGGTCCTATTGGCAGAGTGGTTCTGATGACAGTGAGGTTATCTTAGCATCATGGTCCCATTGGCACCATGGTACTGTTCGCAGCATGGTTCGGTTAGTGGCGTGGTCTTGTTAGCAGGTCTTTTTAGCAGGTCCCTTCAGCAGCATGATGATAATAAGGACCACAGCAGCTTCCCTCCCAGACTGCCCTCCAGAACCAGGTCTGGCAGACTGAGAACATCCACGGAACCGAATGGGTCCGTGCAGGGATATGGAGGATCATGGAGACAGCCGCCATGACAGGCCTGAGCCCGAGGCTGGAAGGACTGAACCACGATGGCAGGATGGCAAGGCAGCAACACAGAAAACTCCACAAGGGTGTTGCGGTCCTACCCGGTCTTGGTTGAACATTGTAGGTGCAAAAAAAGATTAAAACAAAAACAACAAAAACAGAAAAAGATCAAGTTCACCAGGAGCCTGTGAAGCTGTGGCTCGGCTGAGCGCGGCGATCTTGGCTTTGAACATCTTTCCCTAAAAACATTAAGGTTTACTTGCATTTCCTGTTCGATTCTAGTCCAGAAAAACACTCATCTCAAAAACTACAAACATTTACTCTTTAACTCCTCCAGCAATGGTTTTGCTAAATGTTTTGGCCGCATGAAGCTCGTTCGCTCGTCCAAAAAAAGAAAAAAAATCCATAATTTATCCGCAGCGCTGTATAAGCCGTGGGGTTCTGAGCGTGTGAAGAGTACTGGCCTATAGTCCAGAAATTACGCTACATGCAATTATACGGTAATTGTTTAAAACTACAGTTGATGTTCATTGTAATGTTTTTTTTAATTTTGTAGTTTTCAATGAGAACCTTAACCTCTCCTTTACTCAAACACTTCAGGCTTCTGTGATGGAGACCCAACCAACGATCTGACCCTGCCCAACGGCACCACGCTGGGCGTAAGCGAGGCTCTGTTCACTGATAGCTGGCAGGTTGCCAACACAACCGGCTACATCAGCTACAGCCGTCTTCGTGATCACAACTGCTCCACCAGTGACTGCTCCCATTGCCTGGCCATGCTGGAGAACCCCTCCTTCACCCCCTGCCATGTCTTTGTACGTAATACCGACTTTAAACTGGTTTTAAGTGTCACAATTTTCAAGATTTAATGGTTCTGAATCAGCAAACAGGTCTGATACCCAGACAGGATCAGAGACCTTAAATACTGTACAGATGCTGGATCATAGTATTTAGTGTGCTAGTAATTTAGAAATTATTGTTTCTGTGTTTTCAGGTGCCCCCCATGACGTTTTGTGAAGTTTGGGTGCGAGACTCTGAATATGTCAACAACCAGTGTGTAGCTCTGGCTGCTTATGTGGCGTCATGCCATAAGTTTAATATCTGCATCGAGTGGAGGAGTCCAGATTACTGTCGTAAGATTTCTGTTGCAGAAAATACCATTTACAGCTAATTCTGTGAAATCAGTTATCTTGGATTCAAGCTGGTTCATCGTGTTGCTAAATTTAGAAACATTATTCATTTGACTGTTTTCCCTTTAACTGGAAATATTGGAGTTAGTATGTTTTTGTTTTCCTGCAGCTTTTGCGTGTTCTGACACTCTGCAATATCAGGCCTGTCTTCCGGCGTGCACGTCCCAGTCCTGTCCAAACCACGACTTCGACTCTGATCCGGACCACTGTTCAGGTCTGACCGAGGGCTGCGTGTGCCCGGAGGGAACGCTGCTCCACCGGCCGTACTCCGCACTCTGCATCCCCCACGAGAAATGTGGTAAGACTGGGTCACGTCAGTCTAAGAGCAAAACGATCACATGCAAAGAAAACAAATATATGATCTGTCACAAAGTGCAGTTAAACAAGCTTTATTTCAAAAAGCCAAACTGAGCCCAATATTTTTTTGTAATGAATCAGCTGCAGTTATGACTCTCACAGAGGTTTTCTAAATACTTTTCCAAATGGTGTGAACATTTTTTTAAACTTTCTAGTATTTGTTGTCAATTACAATGGAGCTTTAGGTCCACACTAAGAAAAAAAAACCATTACAAACGACAATAAAGTCATAATATTACGAGAAAAAATTTGTAATATTACGAGAATAAAGTAGAAACAATACGAGAATAAAGTCATAATCGTATGAGAATAAAGTCGTAATATTATCAGAACTCCTACATGAAAAAGTAGTAAAATGATGAATGTTGAATATTTGTGCTGTTGTTCGGCGTATTGTTTTTGTATTATTAGTGCTTAGTGTTTTTTTTAGTTTAACGTTTCTCTTAGTTCATATCTTACATCTTATTACTGTTTTTCTTTTACATTTTATACTTTTTTCAGATGTAACTGGGACCTTGTGTACACAATTTCATTCCACCACATGCACCACTTGTGGTGGAATGACAAATAATGAACCTTTGACTTTTGACTTTGAATGTTTACGTCAGCAATACAATAGCAGGGGGCCCAACGTACTGTTTCATATGCATTCTTATGATAAACTGAAGCTGTGTGGCATTGTAATTAATGGCTGCAATGACATATTTAATCGTCACGTAATGTGTATGGAGGCATATTTCACAATCAGTGACCCAAAAATGATCATGGACTACTACATAAACACAGTGACTCTCATTGGAGGCTGTCCACAGCAGGTGGAGCCGACCCAGGAATATATTACGAGTTTATTCTCGTAATATTATGACTTTATTTTTGTAATGTTTCGACTTTATTCTTGTAATACTTCAAATTTATTCTCATAATATTTTGACTTTATTGTAGTAAATTACGAGTTTATTCTCGTAATATTATAAGTTTATTCTCAAAATACTTCAAATTTATTTTTGTAATATTATAACTTTATTCTCACAATACTACAAATTTATTCTCGTAATATTTAGGCTTTATTCTTGTAATTTACAAGTTTATTTTGTAATATTTCAACTTTATTCTTGTATGACTTTATTCTCGTAATTTTATGACATTTTACTCGCAATTTTTTTCTTAGCGTGGCCCTAAAGCTCTGTCATAATCAATTTATCGTTCAGTAAGTACAAAAATAATTACAAAGTGCATTTGAAAATTAAATAATAAATAAAGTGTGGATTGTCGAATAAAAACACATTATGTAACCAACTGAGGATTTTTTTGGGGTTTTTTGCACCAATTCACAGTAAGAGCCATTTCAAGATGCTATACAAGAACCACAAAGGTCCAATTTAAGTTCTTCTAAAAACAATCGATTCAGTTCCAATAGATCCCAGTTCATTTCAATCAGATTCAGAATATTCCCATATACTAATGAGTAAAATGTTTCTAATCTTCTTGAAACACATTTTTGTTTTGGACTTGTAACTCAGCTTGATACAATGACTTTTATTTTTTTATTGGCTGTTTTTATGATTTTACAGTTCATTTTGTTTTACTGTTTTTGATTTAATTGTTTCTTTGCTTGATTTTATGCTTTTTTTAAATCAGTGTACAGCACTTGAGCCAACAGTGTTGTTTTAAAGTGCTTTATAAATAAAGTTTCATTGTATTATTGTATTGTAGCTCCGGGCTTCCTAACCCTGGTCTTCAGGACCCGTTGTCCTGTATGATGTAGACGTTTTCCTGCTCCAACACACCTGATTCAATTGGTTCAGTTAGAGCTGCATCAGGCAAACTGAATAATTGGACCCATTTTTACATTTTTAAATTGATCTGCATCAGCCTGGCCAGGTGTAAACAATTTTTTGAAAAACAGTCACTGGGTCACTTCACGTTGAGACAGTAACTTCTGTAGATACAAGGTGCTGTGAAGGAGTGTTACACGGCATAGATTCCTTATATGCATTGGCCTCAGAAAAATTTGTAATGTGGGGGGAGAGACACACTAATGGGGGTGTGGGGGTCTGGGGGTCCTCCCCCCACAATTTTGAATAAAATAGAGGCCATTCCCTGCATTCTAGTGTATTTTAACGGGTTGTTAAACATCTACGTTTACCTACACATGTAAACACTTGATTGAGTAACTATTTTAGAGTGACCAAGAGCTCTTCCCCCCTCACCCCCATCGACAACTGCCAGCACTAATGTAGTGCTAAGTTAAGGCGCAACACAGAGGTGTGTCCCCCTCCTCCCCCTGCCTCGTCTACAAAAAACCCCACTCAAAAACCCTCAGAAATGAGTGTCCTGCCAAGCCAAGTGACCTCGAGGAAACACTGCGTGTGGTGCGTTGTTGTAGGTAACCAGGAAAACCCAGAGTGGAGTTTTAGTGGTTTGACTATTCTCCTGTTAATCAAGTGGAATGGATTTGTTCACGAAGAAATTGAAACAGCACTGGGTGAACTAATATTTCATGGTAAATGTGTGTGTGTGTGTGTGTGTGTGTGTGTGGGGGGGGGTCCAAATGAATATTTTTTAAATGTTGGGGGCACACATCCCCTTCACATATAATTGTTGTGACACCTATGCTCATATGGTTGTAGTGATGGGTGGGGTGGCCAAAGATTAATCTATGGTGACCAAGGCCACCCTTGGCTCCACCGTCATGCCTAGTTATAAATGAAAATTCTCCCTCCACCTGCCAGAATCAGTCTCTCTGCGCTGCCTTGGACAAGGAAAAAAATTAAAAATCTCCACTGTTCTTCACAATGTATCTGAATATCTTGCAGTAAAAACATTTTCTATCATTCCCTGACACTCATCTGGAAAACTATACAGATTCACTATTCAAGTCTCTCCATGACAGGGACTTTGTGTTCCGCTTGTTTTGTTTGTTATAGTGTTCATCAACAAACGTGTCAACAAAACATTAATAAAAGCTTAAATATAAATTTTGAAGAATGCTTAAAATGTTCTCAGCACCTTTATTTCCATTACTGACTGTCGTCCACTTGGCGGTAAGCCTTTGTACACACTTCTTTAATCACAAATACTTAGATTTTCTTTTTTAAAACCAGATTGTGTATGAAAATTAAACTGTTACACATATATGTCCAAAACAAACCAATGATAAAGTAGGCTTTTTATGTCTGCTATTACCCACCTGATTCTAAAGACAATCATTGCCCCCACCCCCTGCGCACACGGCTAGGAAAACAAAACGCATAAAAAGTTGCACAAAGACTTTGATGATTCCCTTTTCAAGTTTATATTAAACAGTATACTGTTGACCAAATCTGACAAACGGGGGATGACAAAATATAAAAAGCAGCTATGGACCAGCAGCACCACAGTTTATGGACCACAGATCAAATGTTAATATCAGCACAATTCTTGTATGTGGTTAAATTAGAGAAACCAGTTGAAAAACATAAATCCACATTTTCTGCTTCCTGGTCTAATGCTGGTTCTGGTGGGTGTATCAAGTACATTCAGTATAGTCCAGGTGTTTTTAACTGAGGTGCAGTGTTCTTGTTGCTGCAGCCTGCACTGATGGTTCTGGTGTTCCCCGTGCACACGGAGAGGTGTGGACAGCCTCGAAGGATGGCTGCTGCATGTACCGCTGCGACAACGACACCATCGTTCCAGTGGAGTTCAACTGCTCCAGCACACCAGCGCCGGTGTGCCATCGCGCAGGAGAGATGATCATCAGCATGGCAGACGACACCAGTTGCTGTCCACGTAAAATCTGTGGTAAGACTACCAGATCAGCTCCTAAACGTATGAAGACCAGTAAACAAGAGTGATTTGTAAAATCAACTGTGTAATGGTCTAATGTGTGACTCTGTAGTGTGTAACCAGAGTCTGTGTGACCAGCTGCCTATTGAGTGTAAATATGAGGAGAAGATGGTGTCGTACTACAGATCAGACTCCTGCTGTCCAGAACATGTTTGTGGTGAGTTTCCATTTGACCGATCACCACTAAATCACTAATTCACAAAAAGCCTGAACTCTTTGTACCCCATCGAGGAGCGAAGGTGGGGAATTGTAAATACCCTCCGTCCATCTGTGCATATTGTGAGCATGATAACTTTAAAACCAAGTGAGGTCATTTTGGTGTGTGGCTGCATCCAGGTGAACGAAAGGTCGCCATCAAGAAATGGGTTGGCACAACAAAATCCATGATGGCTGACGTCATAAATGTATATATGTTGACCTTGTGAGCTGGATGACTTGAAAAATAAGCAAAGGATCAAATTCCATTTTGGTGTGTGGCAGCACCTGGACATGGTAAATGTCACTATCAGAAGTTGAATTGTAATGTCCAAAGCCTAGATGGCCACCACCATA